GCCATTTTTTTGGTAATTACTTAGATGTTAGCTTTTCTTTTTATTACTGAGAATCTGTCTGGAATCAACCCTTAGGAGTTAGAACCATGTCTGGAACCGCAGCCTTCAGAATTCGGGGATAATGGCCTGCTCCTCTATCCTTCTACATTTAGATAGGAGACTTAGTTCCCTTGGCAAAGAGCTGAACTTGTGACCTAAGCCACAAGTCCCTCAACCTCTGCCGATTGAGCTAAGCCCTATGGGTTTAGATGTGAGCTCAGTGTATAATTGACGTTTGACAAGGTTTCAGTTAAGTACTGTTCATGGCTGAGAGGTTGGCCGCAATATGCCTATATTGAGTGGGAACACATGTTCAAAGTGATGAGGGTCGAAAATAGTGGTTTCGCTTCTGGAATTAATAGCAATCATTTATGCTGTTATTATTTCTATGCTTTCTGTTAACGACACTGATATATTGTCTCTACTCGTCTTTTCCGTCTTCTTGAGCCGAGGGCCTATTGGAAACAGCCTCTTTACCCCATCGGGGTCGGGGTTAGGTCTTGCGTACACACTACCCTCCCCATACTCCACTTGTGGGATTTTACTGGGTCGTTGTTGTTGTTGTTGTAGTATTGCTACTACTGCTAGTCAACCCGTTTCTTGAAGAAGATGTCAATTACTTCTTCAGGCTTTCATGAAATGCGATACTGTTCCTGTTAATTGACTCCTAATCTTTTCCAGTAGTGGTGTATAATAAATAAGCTACTCAGTCGTAGAACTTCCTAATACTATGAAATACTTGTAAGAATTAATCATATAGATAAATAATCAATTTTGAAATATATGGACCACATTTTGTTAAACCTTGGGGAGAATCCTGCGTTCTCCCAGTCTGAGTACATGTTTACTGATATTGGTGATAATGAACCAAAGTTCCTTATGAGTTTACACCAAGCAATGTAATGTAAGACTCATGACAGTTCTGCCCACTATGAGTTGGTACTCCTTCCATTTTTACCTCATAACCTTGAGAAAATCAATTCTCTAACTTTCATAGCTTCCGGCAACATCACGCTTTGAATGTTGATGCTTATGGATTTTACTTTATGCATCCCTGCAGATTCTAAAAATATGAATAAATATTATACAGACATGTTTTTTTTTTTTTTTTTTTTTTTTTTTTTTTTTTTTTTTTTTTTTTTTTTTTTTTTTGATAAGTTAATGTATTTCATAGAAGGCATCAAGAAGATGCAAATTCAGAAATTACAGAGCAAAGGAATAGAGAAAAAAGAAGAAGACAATGTTAGATCTATTACAAAAGGCCTAATCTAAAGTTAAGGAGCTAACAAAGTCCAAAAAAGATTCAGGGGAATTGACAGGGGAGAGATTACTCCAGCTACAAAGACTTGTTAAACATCTAGCCTTAAGAACGTAATTTGGAGTAGTAATGCCTTCAAAGCATCTAGAGTTTCTTTCTGTCCAGACACACCAGAAAATGCAAGCAGGGATCATCTTCCAAACTTTCCTGATGGATTTCCCAACTTTCCATGAGCTCCAGCTAACCATGGCATCTTTAACACTCTCAGGCATAACCCATTTAAGACCAAAAGCTGAGATGAACATGTTCCATACATCTGCAACAGCTGTACAGTGTAAAAAAAAATGTCTATTGGTCTCTAAGGCATGTTGACACATGTAGCATCTGTTGACTATGGGGATGCTTCTTCTGCTAAGATTGTCTTGAGTGAGTGATGCTTCATAGAGGGCTATCCAACTAAAGCAAATCACCTTTGGAGGTAGCTTAGTTTTCCAAATTAATTTCCATGGCCAATCGATTAACAATTCATTTTGAGTACATTGCATGTAGTAGCCTGCCTTCACAGAGTACTTGCCATTGGCTTTATTCCCCCAGATGAGTCTGTCCGATGCCTGATCATTAATTAAGACTGTCCCTAGTCTTTCCAGTAGGTTGAGAAGATCTTGCAGCTCCCAATCTTGTATGTTCCTCCTGAACAAAGGATTCCAGGAATAATCAGCTCTGTTTTGTGAAATGGTTGACTGTTTACTTGTGGATATTGAATAGAGGTTCGGAAAATCAGCTTGCAATGTTGAGTACCCCAGCCATTTATCTTCCCAGAACCTTATTTTTGCTCCATTGCCTACCGTAAACTTGCATTGGTGATAAAACTCCTCCCCTAGCTTGCTGATATACTTCCAAGGTCCTACTCCATATGGTGATCTAGCAACCTTGGTACTCCAGTGATTTTTATTGCCATGTTTTGCAGTTACCACCTCCTTCCAAAGGGCGTGATCCTCTTGTGAGTATCTCCACAGCCATTTCATAAGCATGCTCTTATTATGGACCATGAGATCTCTAATTCCCAGGCCACCTTGTGACTTTGGTAGTGTTACTTTTTTCCAATTAACCAAGTGGAATTTATGAGTTTTGCTGCCTCCTTCCCAAAGAAAATTCCTCCTGTATTTGTCTATCTGCTTCAGCACCTTTCCGGGGATGGGAAATAAAGACATAAGGTGGGTGGGAAGGCTATCCAATACACTGTTGATGAGTGTGAGTCTCCGTCCCATAGAAAGGTATTGCATTTGCCAGTTAGCTAGTCTTCTTTTAATTTTTTCAGTGACTCCACTCCATATATCATATGAGTTGAACTTTGCTCCTAGCGGAAGCCCCAGATACGTAGTTGGTAGTGTGCCAGTACTACAGCAAAGAATGTCAGCCAGGCCCTCCAGATTAAAAACATCATTGACAGGATAAATGACACTCTTCATCATATTAATGTGCAAACCTGAAAGAGCTTCAAAAATAAGCAAGGTCAGATTTAAATGCAGCACTTGAGATTCTTCAGCCCCACAAAAAATTAGGGTGTCATCTGCGTATAGCAGATGTGAGACAGTCACTCTATTCCCAGACCTGCTACCAACTTCAAAGCCTTTGAACCATTGTAAATTCTTGGCTTTATTTAGCATGTTACTGAGACCTTCCATGGCAATGATGAAGAGAAAAGGTGATAGAGGATCCCCTTGCCTAAGACCCTTTTGAGGAGAGAAGAAGCCGGCTGGGCTTGAATTAACCAAGACGGAGTACTTCACGGTGGTAGTGCAGAACTTAATCCATTTAATCCATTTGTTTCCAAAACCCATTTNGTTCATTGCTGTCACTTAGCTATATTTTGTTTAATTGTGAGAAATATAAATATCCACGTGAAGTAGATTTGTTAGATCCTTTACCTCCTTCCCTAGCTTCCTATTTGAAAATATTTGATGGAAAGTTTTACGTTACTTCTGCCACAGGAAAGTATAAACCGGTAAAACAGGAAAGAGATGAGTGCTTACAACGCTTTTAAAGCTTGTGTTCCAGTAGCTTGGAGCCCTAATCTATACATAACCCTTGTAAGGGGTATTCCCGGCACTAGAAGGCTCCATAGACGTACCTTAGAGGCACTGCGTCTTCGCAAATGTAACAGGACTGTAATGCGGTGGAACACCCCTACTGTTAGGGGAATGCTTCAGCAGGTTTTAAAATTGGCTTGCTATTAATATGAATTAGTTGAATGAGTGCTCTTCTCTCGTTTTCATATGAAGTACTAGTAATTATTCATTTTACATTTCTCATACTGATCTTAGGTGAAAAGGTTGGTTGTCATTGAGACAGAAGAGATGTACAAGGCACGCAAGGAAAATGTAGCTAATCACAATGCTCTTCGGCCTCCTGTGGTTGTAAACCATCATCCAGTCCCTGCAGCCGATTCCCTTCAGTAATGTTGTTGAAATTGTGTGCTTGTCTCTTCTTTGATTTATTCCTGCTAATGGAATCATGCGCTAGTGCAGCTAAATACGATTTGGGGGCATTTGAAAGTTATTAGAAATGTAGTAGGACTTTTGCTTAAGCATTTCTTGTTAAATTTGCCCCCTATGGGGGTTGTCATTTAGTAGCTTGTGCAGGCACTTGAATGATTTGAGTTATTTCTATAGCTTGTGAAGGTACCTGAGTGACAGTTATGGAGGCAAATGCTTGGAAAATAGAAATTAACGACCGAGTGCTTTTTGGTGTAGTCCAGGCAGTTGGTTAGGTAGTTTAGTTGTGTCAACAACAATGCTCAAGGAAAGATGGTGTGGTCCCCATGTAATAAATGACTGATTATGATCCAATGCGTAGGTATTTTCCCCTTTTTCAGTTTCTATGTAGTTGTGATAATTTATTATGGACCTTTTCATTAGAATTCAAATATTCCTGCCAGAATCTCTCCCTTTATTATTCCAAAGTGGGTATTCTTGCAAAAATCTCAGTGGTTACGTAATCTGATGTTACTTAATTGATTCTCTTCATCTAAAGCAAATATGATAAAAAGGAGGAATCTGTGGAGGGGTTCTCGTCCGATTAGCTAGTTCTGAGGCAATAGTTTACCAAGGTGAAGATTAGTAGCTGGTCCGAGAGGACTACAGCAACACTAGAAGTGGCACCTTGATGTAGTAGAAGTTTTTAATTCGAGCTTATTATTTCCAACTGCAATGTGAATACTTCTAGTTGCTTCAAAGGGGCTACTGCAATTGACATGCGGCTGATGCTCTAAGAGCCTGAGAGCGTTGTGTAGAGCGTATCAACCACCATTGACTACATTTCTCTGATGAACTGTGATAAGCTCTGTGAGTTCACCTGCGAAACAATGATCACAAATGGTCCTTCTGAAGAGAAAAACAATGATCAGAAATGGCATCCTAGGACATATCTATTCTCATTCCATTGGGTATTGCAGATATCGACCTGAGTGAACTGAGAAAGGTGTACAGTTAAAGTCTTGTCCTGCTTCATCTATGTAGAAATCCTTGGTCTGGAGAAAAGCAGTTCTGTAAAGAAACATGAGGCTCCATTTAGTTGTAGACCTGTTTTTCTTAAGTTTATTAGTTTCAGCATATTCTTTTACGAGGATAAGAGAACTAACTTTTTGTATGCATTTATCCCTATGCATTCTGTACTTCTCACCAACTCCATTGAGCTATCGATGGAATTTGAAGTCATAGGTCTGTTACTTTATTTTTTAGTAATCATATCATATAGCTTATTTCTTTACAAGCTCTGAATCACACACAGAACATACATCATATGGAGTGATGAAATAATCATGGGAAAACTGACAAAAAAGGAGTAGAACCTTTTCTTTTATGTCCTAACACAACTAGTGACAAACTGAAATCTTATCTTCCTGAGGGACGAAAGAGCATTTTCCATGTTAACTCTTGCATCAGGTGACACTAAAGTGCAACTCAAAGCTAATTCCATAATAGACAACAAACATTGAATCTTGGCTTCAATATGTCCTTCCTCTGGCCTCAACAAATTGGCATCCACAACTTGACCAACTCCACTAGGAAAAGAGTCATTAATCCAACATCTTAGGCTCAAATCTCCAGTAAACATATCATCACTTGGCCTCATCCTAATAAATGTTTCCATCATCATGATGCCGAAACTATAGACATCACAATTTTTGGATACTATTCCATCCTGTCCATACTCTGCAATCAAGGGGGAAATTTTGTTAGTTCATGAGCTAAAGTACTCCTTATTACCATGGAATATAATTTTGAAATGGAAAATCTACAGCATACCAAGTTTGAAAGGTTCTATTACCTGGAGCAATGTATCCAATGGTTGCTATAGTCCTTGTTTGGACGAAAGTCTCCCCTGCACCTAGCAACTTTGCTATGCCAAAATCACTCACATGACCAATCATTTCTTGATCTAGCAAGACATTGCTTGGCTTCAGATCACAATGCACCACAGGTGTTGGATACCCATTGTGGAGATAATCTAACGCCGATGCCACATCTATCATAATATCCACCCTCTGCAACATGTCTAAGAACAAATTATGAGAGTATAGCCACTTATCAAGTGTTCCATTGGGCATGTACTCCAATACTAAGGCTTTGAAGTCTGGGTTGGAACAACTAGTGATCACTCTTGTGAGATTTCTATGGCGAAGGTTGCGTAGTATCTCACATTCTGTGTCAAAGCTCTTAAATGCTCCCTCCAAATGCACATTGAATACCTTTGCTGCCAAAAGAGTCCCATCCTTAAGTATCCCTTTGTAAACCATGCTGAAACTCCCTTTACCAAGCAAATTGCTCTCACTGAATCCTCCAGTTGCTTGTTGAAGTTCATGATATGATATTCTGTCATGTCCTTTCACAAAAGACTCATCTGTTTGACCTGAATTCTTCTTTTTCTTTTGCCATCTTAACAGCATATATCCAAGGACAAATACTAGAAACATTGATCCAATCCCTAATAGAATAAATAGTCCTATAAGCATTCTCTTTCTCCTTGATTTCTTGGTGGATTTGATGAGGCATGGTGACACATTAAAGCGAGAAGCACCACAGAGTGCATCATTGGACATGAAAGATTGACCGGTGAAATTTGCAAAAGGACCGCCAGTGGGAATTTCTCCCTTTAACTTGTTAAAAGAGAAGTTGAAGTAGTTAAGGTGTGAGAGTGCTTCAAGTGACTTTGGAATTTCACTAGTAAGATTGTTGTAAGAGAAATCCAAGAATTCCAAGCCTACCATTTTACCAAATGAACTTGGAATAGGCCCTTCTAATTTATTATGTGCCATTGAGAGACTAATCAACTTTTCAAGACCCCCTATAGTACTAGGAATATTACCAGAAAGATCATTTTTTGACAGATCAATTAGTGTCACAACTTTTAGATTACCAATCTCAGGAGGTATACGCCCGCTTAATAGATTTGATGATGCACTCAGTTCTAAGAGATCTTGAAGACTCCACAGGCTTTCAGGTAAGGTGGAATTCAATCTGTTGAAACCTAAATGCAGATATCTTAAAGTCGACACTTTTCCTAAACAAGCTGGAACTGAACCAGAAATTTGATTAGAAGTCAAGTCTAAAGCTCCAAGATTCTGTAATCTGCAGATATCATCAGGTATTGTTCCTCTTAGACTGTTATTTTCTAAGTAAAATTCTTGAAGATTTTGCATTGTTCTCAACTTCTCAGGAATGGAACCAATGAGGTTATTATGAGACAGAGCTAGCACACGTAAGCCGCTTAGATTTCCAACTTCTTCTGGGATGGTGCCCTTCAGTTTGCTTCTACGTGCAATAATTATCCGAAGAGAATCGGAAAAATTTCCAATAGAAGCTGGAAGAAAACCATTCAAAGGATTCTCTTCAATGACCACTTCTCTTAAATATCTACAATTAGTCAGGGATGTAAGGAAGCTTAACTCAGAAGAAGATGGCTCATTAATGAAGTTGTTACCACCCAAGTATAGGCCTTCAAGAAACTCTAAGGTACCAAATGAATCAGGAATTGGACCTGTACATTTGTTGTTTGCTAGGTCTATAATAATTAGCCTTGAAGCATTTGAGATTGTAGGAGCAAGTCTTCCGCTGAGATCATTCGATCCAAGGTAAACTTCTTCAAGATTTAGTGTTCTAAGGCCTAAATCTGAAGGTAAACTACCTGATATCTGATTTCCATATATGGTAAGTATCTTCAATGCTGAAATGTTGAAAATATTTGCAGGAATAGAACCACTTAAGTTGTTAGCTTTTAACCCAAGCATTTGAAGGTTTTGTAGATTACCTATCTCAACTGGTATTTCTCCTGGCAATTAGAGTAAAATGCATAAAGATTAGCTCAAACTGACATTGCTTAGCTATTCAGAAATCTTAAAATAAAAAAAACAAAAGCTGAAAGATAATTCATACCTTCTAAAAGGTTTTCTCCAAGATGCAACACTGTGAGCATAGTTAAGTTCCCAAGTTCTCTAGGTATAGTTCCAGTGAACTGATTGCCAGACAATGTCAAATTTTTAAGCTTTGAGCATTTCTCTAAATTTGGTGGGATTAGGCCATCTAGGATGTTGCTTGAGAGAAAGAGCACTTCAAGATTTGGGAGATTGTTACAAATATCTACAGGAAGTTTACCAGTAAGACGATTGCGAATTAAGGCGAGTTGTCTCAGGGAAGTCATGTTGAAGATTGATGGTGGTATAAAGCCAGTAAGCCGGTTACCTGTCGGAGACATAATTAAACTTTTAGATGAGGCGATCACACACTTCAACATGGCCAATCAAAAAGATCAACTAGGTCTGCATGTTGAATATATAATCAGGGGCGGAGCCAGCCCTTCAGTTATGGTTTGGCCGAACCCAGTAGCTTTGGTCCAAACCTTATATTTGTCTTAAGAAATTAATTGAAAAAGAACAAATTATTAATTTAGAACCTGGTAACTTAAAAGAACTAGAATCCTGAGCCCATAAGTTTCAAATTCTGACTCTGCCTCTGTATATAATGAAGTAAATGAAAATATGCATGCACTCTCTAACAGTTTAAGCTTTTAGATGAGATGATAATATACTTAAACATTACCTTGTAGGTCTAACATTGTCAAGTAACGAAGGTCGCCAATTTCAGGAGGGATCTTTCCTTGAAGAGAATTCCTCTGCACTCTTAACTGTTGAAGATTTGTTAGATTGGAAAAGGAAGATGGGATTTCCCCTGAAAATTTGTTGCTCGAAAGGTAGAGGAATCGAAGGTTAGGTAACAAACTTAAGACTGATGGAATAGGGCCACTAAAATTATTTTCTGTAACATCAATAAGTTTCAACCTTAGCAAAAGAGACAACTCTTGTGGCAGATCGCCACGAAAACTGTTGTTACTGATGTCAAGGGAAACAAGAAATGAGAGATTTCCGAGGTGTGGAGGAATGGTACCGCGAAGTTGCATGCTAGAAATGTCTAAAGCAGTGACTCTATGGTGACGCGAGCTGCAAGTAATGCCAATCCAGCTGCAAACTGGGGAGGAGACAGACCAGTTGCTTTGTAACAAGTTATTAGGATCAGAAGAAGAAATGTGAGATTTGAAGGCAAGAAGAGCAGCTTCATCATTAGGATTAATAGCCAAAGAAGCAGTAAAGAGATGAAGCAACACAAACATAAGAATGCTGTTGGTTTTTTCCATAATTGGTTGACTGATAAAGTTGTCTTTTCAATGAACCAAACAAGAGTAGTAGCTGAGAGCAATGCAACAGTTTCTTTAATATCCTTTTTTTTTTTTTTTTTTTTTTTTTTTTTTTTTTTTTTGTGAATTATAATACACTAGTGAAATATTAGTTAGTAAGAATCGCCAGCTTCAGCCTTCACTTAATCGGTTTCATCTTTGCCGTTTGTTTTGAATTGAATATATACTGCGCTGCCTAATTATATTATATGGAGAAAATAGAAACGTTAAGCAATGAGATTTCATCTTATTTTTTGTTTTAGTTTTTGCATGTGAAAGCTAGCTTCCTGGTTCGTTCCAAGTTCAAACTCTTTCTGGGTTATATATGTCACGGCAGAGCCTTTTGCTGGTCTTCTTTCAAAAGTTGTGCTACTTGTTACTTGTATGTTTTTATGATTTTATTATTATTATTATTATTATTATTATTATAAAATAGTCAATCCTTGGGGAAAAAGAAAAATAATTGTGTCCACATTAAGAAGTTACTATTTTGGGAAAAAGATATCGTATCCACAAAAGTATTATTATAACTTGAATAGTTGAACAACTCCACTAATGACGTAATTAAACGGGACCTACTTATACTCTTATGAATATAGTAATAACTTGCTTGTAATAAACATTTCACTAATGACGTAAGAAAAGTCAACATAAACGATACCAACCATTCTCTTAATAAATAAACCATATGAAGTGCGATAATTAATTGAATCGAAGCAAATACACTTTTTAAAATCAAGGATGTTGTAACGAAGTACTAGTTGAAGCAAATAATATGAAATTAAAAATCTGTTGTAAGAAAATGACCTTCATCCATAAGTGAGGAAAGTCAGTTATTTCCTTTAGTTTTTTTTCCGTTTGATGAAAAAAACTTTTTGTAGCCAAACAACACAAAATGATTTACTTATGAAAAAAAAGAACCTAAAACTAAATTCCGTCATACGAAACATACAAAGAAACATAAAAGTGTAATTGCATCAAGAAATAAATTTAATTTTTAAAAAAGTTTCCGGTTAATCGTAAAAGAAATAATATTAACTTTTTCAATGTGTATAGCATTTCGGAAATAGCCTCTTTACCCCATCGGGGTAGAGGTAAGGTCTGCGTACACACTACCCTTCCTAAATCCCATTAGTGGAATTATACTGGATCGTTGTTATTGTTGTTGTAATATGTATAGCGTTCTTAGCATGAGACACCGAAGGAAATTCGCCTGACGTAATTAGGAGACTTTAGTCAAAGAGATGGAAAAGAACAAGATAACCACGTGGTTTTATTTTTTCGTTATAAGCACATGGTTTTGAATACAGGATTACTTTATTCTAAAAGAAATCACTATACTATATATAAATTATTTATATTAGCAACTCAATTGTGCACCTAAAGATTAAAAAAACATTAACCAAATGAAAGAGTAATTTAAAGTTGATGATTAAGTTGGTCAGTCTATCATGACCTAAATAAACCTTGAGATTATTGTTATATACCTGGATTTCCTATCCTCGGGAGTCGTGATGACGCTTACTAATGTGAGCTAGGCAAGCCAATCCTGTAAACTAACTACTTCATTATCCATTTATTTCCTTATAACACACATAAACTGACAACGTATAAACAACGGAAATTTAAATTAAGCAGAAGAAAACAATAAAATATCTGAAATCTGTATCTATTACAACTACTCAAGCCTTAATCACCCAAAACCTGGTGTCACAGTACCACAGACGGTCTAAGACTGCTAAATACAAGGTCTGAAAATAAAAGGACACACTGTTTCTGAAGCAAAAAGATGAAACCGGAAATAAAAGATAGAGGAGACGCCAAGACCTGCGGACGCCTGCAAGTCTACCTTGGATCTCCGCGTGGACTGAAGGTAGCCTCCAAACTACGGTCCAAGAGCTGCTCCGGGATCTGCACATAGTGCAGAGTGTAGTATCAGCACAACCGACTCCATGTGCTGGTAAGTGTCTAGCCTAACCTCGGTGAAGTAGTGACGAGGCTAGGACCAGACTACCAAATAAACTTGTACAATTCAAGCATATACAACGGAAGAGAAACACAGAAATAAACAATCAAGTATGGGAGGGGTAGCATGCTGCGGGGGAAGATATCAATTCCGAATAGAAAGACAACAAGTAAACGAAAGAAACAATATAACTCAGATATCAACAAGGAATCAGAAATCAATAAATGCACGGCATCACCCTTCGTGCTTTTACTCTCGTCCTCACCAAAGCAATCATATAATAAAAAATATGCACGACATCACCCTTCGTGCTTTTACTTTTTTTCCTCACCATATAATCAATATAATCTGCATGGAATGGTACATCGTGCGACACGACATCACCCTTCGTGCTTTACACTCTTTCCTCACAATCATACACGGCATCACCCTTCATGCTTTACACTCTTTCCTCACAAAAACAATGCATGACATCACCCTTCGTGCTTTAACTCTCTTCCTCACCCAAACAACAATCACAAACAATAGGGCAAGAGAATAAATGAAATTATAATAAGAATCTCGGCAAGGGAACAACAATTCAATAATTTAGTCCCGACAAGGGAACAACAATCCAACAATTTAGTCCCGGCAAGGGAACACCATCAATAATATCAACATCCCGGCAAGGGAGATAACAAATAAAACAATAATAGCCCGACAAGGGGGCAACATAATGATCTCTTCTCTTTCCCACTTTTACTTCACAATTCGCTTCACAACTCGAGTCAATGCTCTAATGGTTCAATTATCACTTATACCTTCACAATTCGTATTACAACTTGAGCCAACGCTCCTCAATGTTCATAGGTCATAATTCCTTCCACAAACTTTACACAACAAATAGAAACTACCACCAAGGCATGAAAGATACAACGAAGTCATGATAATCACAATATAAAGACTCACGGGCATGCTAGACACCAACGTATAGATACTCGTCACCATGTCTATACGTCGTACTCAACAATTACCACATAACAAATAAGACTCGACTCCTAATCCCTCAAGCTAAGGTTAGACCAAACTCTTACCTCGATGTCACGAACACAATTCACGTTTCAATTATAGCTTTACGCCTTGATTCCACCGCCAATTCACTCATATCTAGTCACAAGTTACTTAATTACATCAATAAACGTTAAATGAATCAACCCCAATGCATAAAATGAGTTTTCCAAAGTTTTACCCAAAAAGTCAAAAATCGCCTCGGGCCCACATGGTCAAAACCCGAGGTTCAAACCAAAACCCGATTACCCATTCCCCCACGAACCCAAATATTTAATTTGTTTTGAAATCGGACCTCAAATCGAGGTCCAAATCCCCTATTTTTTGAAAAACTTATGTTCTACCCAAAACACCCAATTTCCCCCATGAAAATCATTGATTTTGAGATGAAATCATGTTAAAAGATGTTAATGATTGAAGGAAATGAGTTAAAATTAACTTACAATCGCTTTGGAAGAAGAGTTGTTCTTGAAAAATCGCCCTAGGGAGTTTGTGTTTTGAAAAGATGTGAAAATGGGTTAAAAATTCGTCTAAGTATAAAAGTTGCAGGTCGCAGATGTGGGAAACGCGAATTGCGAACCCCGACCTTTGCTATGATGGGAATTGCGAAAGAGGGATCGCATTTGCGACTGGGTTTTCGCATTTGCGACTAAGGAGGATCCAGACGGGTGTCACATTTGCGACAAACACTTCGCATTTGCGAAAAAGGCTGCCCAGGCCACCTCTCGCATTTGCGATACATGGCTCGTATTTGCGATGTGAAGCCTGTAGGTCTGAAACATACCAGCATTTCCTAAGTTAAAATTTTCACTCCGTGGCCTATTAAAACTCACCCGAGCCCTCGGGGCTCCAAACCAAACATGCACACCACCCTAAAAATATCATACGAACTCGCTCGTGCATTCAAATCACTAAAATTACATCAACAACTATGAATTTAGCATCAAAATCATGAAATTTTCTCAAGAGCTTTCAAGTTTCCAATTTTCTCAAAAATGATCCGATTCACGTCGTTTCAAGTCCGTTCCTTACCAAACTTCACAGAATTATCTTAAATCACATATAAGACCTGTATCGGGCGTCGGAACCAAAATACGGGCTCGATACCATTAAGTTCTAATCACAATTCATTTCCAAATCTCATAAATAATTTCAGAAACAATTTTCTTTAAAAATTCATTTCTCGGGCTTGGGACCTAGGAATTCGATTCCGGGCATACGCCCAAGTCCCATATTTTCCTACGGACCCTCCGGGACTGTCAAATAACGAGTCCGGATTCGTTTACCCAAAACGTTGACCGAAGTCAAATTAATTTATTTTATAGCCAAAATTTATCATTTTTCACAGATTTTTACATAATAGCTTTCCGGCTACGTGTCCGGACTGCGCACACAAATCGAAGTGATGCTAAAGAGGTTTTTAAGGCCTCAGAATGCAGAATTCATTTTAAAAACAAGTAATAACCCTTAACAACCGTTCTTCCTCGAACGGACAGAAGAAGGAAGTAACTGAGTCAGGGAAAAGATGGGGATAACGGCTTCGCATATCGGACTCAGACTCTCAGGTCGATGCTCAGAAGGCTGACCTCTCCACTAACGAACCTGCCGGTTTAAGAATAGCTACCGACTCTCCCTCATAAGACAAGTCCTTGTCTAACTGGACAGTGCTGAAATCTAGCACGTGGGATGGATCGCCGTGATACTTCCGAAGCATGGACACATGAAACACTGGATGCACGACTGATAAGCTCGGCGACAATGCAAGTCTATAAGCCACCTCTCCCACTCGATCAAGAATCTCAAACGGGCCAGTGAACCTAGGGCTAAGCTTGCCCTTCTTCCCAAATCTCATTACGCCCTTCATGGGCGACACTCGAAGCAATACCCGCTCACCGACCATAAATGCCAAATCACAAACCTTGCGGTCGGCATAACTCTTTTGTCTGGACTAAGCTGTACGAAGCCTATCCTGAATAATCCTGACCTTGTCCAAGGCCTTCTGAACCAGATCCGTACCTAACAACCGAGCCTCTCCCGGTTCAAACCATCCAACCGGCGACCGACACCGCCTACCATACAAAGCGTTATACAGAAACATCTGAATACTCGACTGGTAGCTGTTGTTGTAGGCAAACTCTGCTAAAGGGAAAAACTGATCCCACGAGCCTCCAAAATCGATGACACAAGCTGGAGCATATCTTCCAAAATCTAAATAGTCCGTTCGAACTACCCGTCCGTCTAAGGATGAAACG